TATGTATATTATATATATATGTGTATATATATATGTATGTATATATATGTATATATATATATATATATATATATATTCCTATATACCGTAAAACCACGAATTTTAAAATTATCATAGAAAATAAACTTATAATTTATAAGGTTACGGTATCTTTAAAACAGAATAAAATAGATAAAATGTTTAGTTAAAAAACAGATTTTTTACCTAGACGTAAATTAATTTAATATGCTGAATCACTATTAATGGTATATACCTATTATATTTCTATAAATTAATCAGAAAATATCTCACTAATCAAACTATCGGAAATAGGCATATTAAAGTATTATTAATTCATTATTAAAGCATTATTCGAGTATTATTATTATTATTATTATTATTATTATTATTATTATTATTATTATTATTATCATAATTACTGTATTATCATTTTATATATTATTTACAACCATAGTGTAACATTAAAAACATAAATTATGTGGATAGAATTATCATAGAAAATAAACTTATAATTTATAACATTACGGTATCTTTTAAAACAGAATAAAATAGATAAAATATTTAGTTAAAATATGGATTTGTATAGACGTAAGTTGATTTAATATGCTGACGCATTATTATCTCATTAATCACACTATCGTTAATAGGCCTATTAAAATATTATTAAATTATTATTAAATCATTATTTAAGTATTATTCGAGCACTGTTATATAATATATGTATTAACTGATAATAGAAAGTCCATGTTGACGGTTGTTGACAGTTGGCGGTTTTTTACATTTATGACCAATAACAATGATATAGGCTAGGCTAGACCTAATCAATTTTTGATACATTAATATCATCTACCGATCAAAACATGCACTTTGCAGTTGTGGATACAGAATTTAGCAATGGGGGGGGGGGGCGCAAAGTAAAGATGGACGACGGCGCCAAAGTAAAGATGGACGACCAGCCAAGGTATGAAGCACAGAAGGCAGGGGCGGATCCAACATGCCAGAAAAGGGGAAGGGGGCGCAATCTGCGAGCGAAGCGAGCAGCCTTAGGCTGGGGGCCAGGGGGCCGCCTAGGGCCCCCGGTGGGGTCCAGGGGCAGAGCCCCTTGGGGGTCCAAGTGGGCGACGAATCCTTGAAGCCCAGCACATCTGAGGAATATGAGGTTGTATTGAGTCGATTTTGACTATCTAGCACGGTAGATTTCAGTAACAAATAAATAAAAAAAAAAAATAGGTGTGTGTCTTTTAAAAGAAATTTTAATATACAGGGTACTTGCAATATGCAACTATGACATGTGTCATGAATTAGTAATAATTCATCTACTCACAGCTGTTGGTGGGACATTAATGTCATCTACCGATCAAAACATGCACTTTGCAGGGCGGATACAGGAATTAGCAAAGGGGGAGGGGGCGCCAAAGAAAAGATGGACGACCAGCCAAGGTATGAAGCACAGAGGGCATTTTTAAAAATGATTTTTTATAAGCATATATTATTGCATCGTCAGAATTTTTTTAAATGACAAACTTTTAAAATGCGCTCGTTTTACTACAGATTTAGAACCTTTTAACTCTTAACGTTTTATCTATAAGCTAAATTTTATATTGTAAGTTATTTTTTTTGTTTTGGTTTGTTTGTTTGTTTTTTTTTTTTTTTTTTGTTTTTTTTTTGTGTTTGTTTTTTTTTTTTTTTTTTTTTTTTTTTTTTTTTTGTGAAAGGGCCTCCACTCGATAATGATTTAGTTAACTCTTGGGAGTGTTCTTGTCTCTTTTGTGTTCTTTGCTGTTTTTGTTATTGTAAATTGAAACGAAATATGAAACTTTACCACAAGCTTTCAATGACTCTCTAAAAGGCGTTGAGCAACACTGTAATTCAAGCATTGCTCAAAATAAGATGTTTCATATTGAACCGAAATCGAATTAAAACATACCCAACCAACATTATTGTTTCTCGTTAATACTTATGCAACCGTATGTCTATTAAACGTATTGTTTAGCTAACTGGAATTAGTTAGAATAACCACTAATTTTTATTATTTATTTTATTTATGGAAAGCATTATTCAGGATAAAATGTACAATACTTAACCCGCCAAAACGTACTGATCTTCCGTATGATCATAATAAAAACAACCATTAAAGATTGAAATTATTAAAATTATTATTAAAATTGACACTAATAAAATAATTAAGTAAATAATTAAACATGTTAAAAAAAAATCAGTCAGGGTCAGTGCGTAGCTCTGCTTTTGGGGCCCTGTTGCTCTTTGAGACTGGGGCCATTTTTGGGTCCCGGTCGCAAATTCTATAGTGGATTATGGATGTGCTAGTTTTTATAAATTATGTTTCAGAGGCAGCGCCAGGAATTCCCCGACAAGGGTTCCAATCTCCCCGACAAGGGGGTCCACGCCCCCCCCCCCTCTCTCTCCGGTCGGGGAAAAAATTAGATCTGTCGGGGAAAAAAATGATCTCGATCGGCCCCACTTACGCCACTCCCCTTTTCGGACATCTCTGGATCCGCTCCTGAGTGCTTTTTAGCTGGTAAAAAAAAGTGAAAATAGTCAGCTGTTTTTTTTTCTTCTGTAGGGGTGGCGGAGGGTCATTCATGAGAATAATTTTCAGGCTAATATTATTTTCGACTTTTCGCTCAAAAGATGGAGATGGGAGGGTGACAGGACAAAAGACGGTTCCTCAAGTCATTTAATCTTATTTTATTCATTCATTCATTAATTCATTAAAACTGCAAATATCCCCGAGCCGCCTGCAAATGACCTGGACCCGCCCCAATGCCTTACCCTCGCGATACATAATCATAGCCACAATAGTAGTGCTGAAGTTTTACTGAGTTGTTGCTCTATCTTATTATTATTATTATTATTATTATTATTATTATTATTATTATTATTATTATTATTATTATTATTACTATTACTATTACTATTATTATTATTATTATTATTATTATTATTATTATTATTATTATTATTATTATTAAGAAAAAGAGTGTAAGTCACCTTTCAGAGTTGAGTTCAGTTTCTGGGAGCTTTCGATGATATCTCGTCATATTCGTCAGCCGTTTGAATCTGGCGGTTAACTGACACGTTAACGCGTTGAAATACTTTCAGCGGTAGCAGAACATTGTAAAATTACTGGACATAACATTAATTGGAATAAAATCAAAGTACTAACTTAAAGAAACTAAAAAAAAATAAATAAAAGAAGCTATAGAAATGAGAACGCCACCTTAAACCGTGATTGCGGACATGAGCTACACCCATATACCATGGACCTATTAATAGCGCCATGCATATACAACAGCCTGCTACGTCATCACACGAACATCAATGCTGACAACTCTGAAAGGTAACATACACTTTTTTCCTTATTATCATGACAGATATAGAGAATAACTTCCATGCGATTATTATTATTATTATTATTACCGTATTATTATTATTATTATTATTATTATTGTTGTTGTTGTTGTTGTTGTTTCAGGAAGATTAAAAGTTTCCGTGGTTCCAAGGCCATAACGATTGCCATTCAAGATTGGAGGCCGATTTTCGATGTTCAGCAAGTGACGTCCAATGACATGGGCCCATGCCTGGCCGCTGCAAGATTCGACTCCAGCAGTGAACAGGAGTACACAATTTACCTTGCAATACTATTATTAGAGGCATAGAGGTATAAAAGATATTTATATATCTACATGTTCGTGGTAAACTGCGCACGACGGTCGTCAGCCGACGAGATTCTATAAAAATCGCAACGTGACGACTCTCGTGCAACGGATCGTTTTTAATGACAATCAGTTCAGACTGCCACCAACAATCGGCAGACGGCGTCGAGTCGTCTAGCGCTCACACAGAGCGTAGTTGGATTCGTCGTGCGACGGTCGTACGTACGACGCAGTGAATGCCCGGCTTAATAATAGGCCTATTGAAAAGAAGATCGCGGAATTCTAATCTAGTAGATAAACTATCGATGTACTAACACGCATCAGGGAGGTGCTATAATGGTACTTTAGTTTACAATAACAATAAAAAGCAACAAAATTATGAGAATTCATTAATGTAGCAAAATATTTTTATCTTACCGAACGCATTTGAGACAGAATAACAGGCCGTGAAGTATCCGGTGCTGCTAGTTGACATATAGAGCGGTGGGCCAATACAGTAGAGTTGCAAAGCATGAAAAATTCCATTTATTAACGTCGAATACGAAACTCGCGAAAGCAACAGCAAAAGTACAATCGTGCGACGGTTATGCTTGTTACTTACGACAACATTAACCATGTCTGATAGGATATCTTTGAACAAAACATTTTGTTGACGATTTGTTTTATCAAGAGATTCTTGCATTAAAAAGATGATGTAAAAGTTTGTAAAAGTCAACGCTGATATTGTGAAAACGAAGGGTTGCAAAAAACCTTTAGCTTCGATCCAAGTAGAGAAAACTATCTGTCCACATCCCACACTTAGGATAGTGACACCGAGAAGAACAGACATTCTAAATGTTAGGCGATCATTTGATAGCAAATCACTAACATACGAAGATGCTCCGGACCTAAATAGGAATGTAGTTCCAGTGAAACCAATCGCTAGGTTTCCAATCAGCAGATACTCTATTGGCAATGCGTATAGGTAAACGAACAGATAATTGACGGCCGTCACCAGATATCCAGAAGTTGATACTACCATAGTTATTTTTCTTCCAACACGATCACTCCGTGTTGAGACGTACAATGTAACGAAGATGGCCGGTAGCGCCTGACAAACAAGAAATATAGTTGTCCAGTCTGCGGTTAGTGTCTGTATCTCGTTTATAATTTTTGTGTCGTTAACAGTAGACGAAATGTTAAATTCAGAATACAACACAAATTCTGTGAATAAAATTCCTTGTACGGAAAGCAAGGAAAAGGCTATGTAAACAGTAAACAGGGGAATATCTACAAGAGCGTAAGGAGACTGTAAGCAATCCATGACCTTAGCTTTACGAAACGGATATAAATTGGAAATGCGCGATCTTAGTATAATTGTTATTTGTTTACTACCAGCATCAATACTATAATACTAGCATAATTTGTACCATTATTTAAATAATCAAAAACGTGTTATGTCAGTTTATGTAATATTTCCATGAGTGACCCGTCATAGGTTCAAGTTTAAGTCAATTTTTTTATATAGATAACGTGAACTTTCTGGAAGCCAATTTGCAAATGACAGTTGTCTATGTGAAGTTGCTTGGAGTAATGACTCAACAGTTAATATATCAAATAAAATCAAATCCATTTTTATTCATTTTATCATAAAAGAAAAAATTCAAGAAATATGAGTATTAAAAGGGTTAAACAATAATACTACTTAAATTAACAAATATTATATAAAAAGTTAATTTAAATCTAAACAATACTTGGATCTTAGTTTGTAAAAATCAATGTTTCCACATTGCACTTACTTAGTTCCGAGAACTACCGTAGTAATAACTAACCTCAGAAATACCGGGTTGGTGTCCGGCGGGGGATAGTTTTTACCATATTGTAGTTAAGTTGTAGTTAAGCATAACCTTGAGCTGTAATTCCTGGCCCCGAAACCTTGACTCAGAAGTAGGCCTACCAGGTTGGTGTCCGGCGGGGGATAGTTTTCCACCAAAGTTTTAACTGTTGTTTATTTTGTTGTACTGTGATGGTTACTTTTGTTGTTGTTATTGTAATATGTGTTTGCAGGACCATATTGTAAAACAGCGGTAAGATCTCGCCTGTATATGTTATCCTGCCTAAAGATGTTTTAAATTAAAAAAAATAAAAAATAAATAAAGTAATGTAAGTCATTTGTTAGGGGCGTGTTGTTATGGGGCGAATTTGTTATGGGGCGTGTTGTTATGGGGCGAATTTGTTATGGGGCGAGTTTTATGGGAGCGGGTTTGTAAGGGGGAGGATCGCCTGTGTAGTGGGTGATGTTTACATAGTCAAGGGGCGAGTTTGTTAGTGGGACAGTTTGTAGGCCCCCCACTCACCACCCCAAACAAATTACCAAAGGTGCACATTTTCCAGGGTAGAAAATTCAAAACTCACTTTCACATATTCCAGAAATTCATCCACCAATCAGAGAAGTCTTCAACTATGACTGCCTCTAAATCGTTATAAGCAACGAAATTTAACTGTATTTATTGCTGCGAAGCAGCCAATTCATATTCTTGACAGCAATTTGACCTCTGAAAGGTCATTGTTTGTCAAAAAATTATCACCTAAGACAACTGAAAGCGGAGTTTCCTTCTTTCGTTCTGCCGGGTAAAATCAATTACTTTAGGCGACGTTTGTAGACTAACCTACTCGTACCAACGTCGGCATGTCGCGACGCTGGAGTACTATTCAGCGTTTTTACTATAGACTCCACACCATACATCAAGTATTAAACTCATCATTCAACTGTGATACTGCAATATCTGAAATGAAAATCAACAAGAACTTAATTATGTAGCCTATTTCAACGTGCTAATTATTACATTTAGGCGACGCTTGTTGTAGACTGGCATAGTGTTTTCGGAAATAAATACCATTTTATACACATGCGCAGATCGATTCGCCAGCAGCGAGTCATCGCCAACAGCAGCAGCAGCAGCGAGTCGCCAGCAGCAGCAGCGAGTCGCCAGCAGAGAGATGTCACTGCAGCATTATTGTACACGGCACCAACGCTGTTCTAATATAGACAATGGGTCGTGCTCATATTATTTGTTATATTTTTATTATTCATTATTTTCACTTGACTCGCATAAATAATTTTGTTCGAAGAACATTTTATGCAGTTGTACTTCGCAGCACTTCACTTGCAATTTGCAATTTCTAGTATAAGCGTTTAGAGGAATACAGTATGAGTTTTTTAAACCGCCGCTTGCTAGTCAATGATTCACCGCGTACAAACTCACCTTCCTTCTAAGTTTCACTAAAATCATCTTTATAGTCCAGTCAATCGGTGGATTTACCCAGAACTAATTGCAACTATAGTATCCTGTAGGCCTACTATATACTCTAGTCTATGATAAGTTGATTGGAATAATGACTCAAAAATGAATATCAAGTAAAATCGATCCTTATTCATTTTATCGTTAAAAAAAAAACTAAAAAAAAAAACCAAAAAAACTAAGGCATATTAATAGCGTTAAAATAAAAATCCTAATTAATTAACAATATTAATAATACTATATATTAAATTTTAACTTAAGCAATACTTGGATCTTAATTTTCCTATTTCTAGTCAATTGCAGCAAAACTGAAATAATAATAGTCCATTCATTTTATTGTAAAAAAAATTATTTACAAATTAATATTATGTCGTCTATATGTTAAGTTTATTGGAATAATGAATCAAAAATGAATATTAAGTCAAATCGATCCTTATTCATTTTATCGTAAAAAGAAAAAAAAAATCAACTAATGCATAATTATTAATAGCGTCAAAATAAAAATCCTATTTAAATTAACAATATTGATAATACTATAGGCCTATATTAAATTTTAACCTTAACAATACTTGGATGTTAATTTTATAATTTCTAGTCAATGACAGCAGCAAAATTGAAATAATATTAGTCTATTCATCTATTCAAGAGAAAAAGTATTTATAATTAATATACATGGAATATGGAAGCATTAAATATTATAAACCTATTTAAATTAACAGAGCATAATCAATCAACCAAAGATGTATTTAATCATGTTTATATAATTCTTAAAATAATCTCATTCTTATTTTAATTTGAAGTACGGTAACAAAGAGAAAAAAAATCTCCATTTAAATAACAAAAATAGAATATAAGAGGTCATAATTGGGATAAAATCTATAAATAGGAATTACTCAACACTAAATACTTAAATAAATAAACTTTATTTTTCAAACATTCATATACAAGATACACATACAATGAAAAAAGAACAAGAAGCAGTTTAATTTTCCAATTAACCATATGGCCTGAAAGAAACAATAAATATACTGTCGAAAAAGAAATTAAAAATATAAATAAACATTCCTTAATTTTATTTTTAAACATAGGCAAAGAACTGAATGCTTAATGTTAACATCTACAGTTCATAGATTCTGATCTGACAGCAATAAATAAATTTTTTGAGTTACCAGAAACGATATAACTCCGATGGGTTCGTATTAATTATTAAATCAACAGTACGGTCCGTTTAGAATTTTAAGCATACATATATTTTTAAGCATATTATAATAATTAAGTTTTCATTAAATTATTAATGCATGGAAGTAGCGTTTAACAATATCGATTTTTAAGGAGTTAAGCTGTCAACGTTATGGTCTAGATGGGGCTACGATTGGTGTAATTTTATAAGTAGACTTACAGCACGTTTTATTATTATTTAATAAGACGAATAATTACAACTCTGGATAGGCTAAAACAATTAACAATTGACTAATAGGGCCAGGAAATGCATGCTTGTCTCCCATACGTGTTATCCTACAAGCACGTACGGTACGTTTACGCAGCCGTTTCTTGCAGTGGCGTAGCTAGAATATTTCTGTAGTTTGGTGGTGTGGGGGGGGGGTGGGTCCGTGATACTATGTGGGGGACAAGTGTTCTGATCGAAACTAGGAACCAAATGCTGGGGGCCAGGGCCGCGAAGGGCCCCCAGTGAGGGTCAAAGGACGAGGCCCCTGGAAAAAGGTTACAATATGGCTATATAAATGGCTATCTTGCGTGACCTTCAGCCCGTTTTCTCTCAAATAATGTATAAATCAAGTGAAATTTCTATGGAATTAAAAAATCAAAATGAATATCATATTGTTTTATAGCAGTTTATTCATTATACAGAACATTTTAAATCATGATGAAACTATTGTATTTTGTATCTTAATACGAATTACAGTTAAATTTTTGAAAAATGAATAACCGGGAACGGGATTGTACTTCAGCCATTGGGCTGCACCAAGAAAAACGTGTAGAGAATACTGTGTATACATGCCTGTGATTGCCAATACGTATAGGCCTACTGTACTTTAAACTAAAACTACACAATAAAAATTAAACATTCATTTTTATAAGAACACCAGCGAAGCGAACATTTATCGGTGGAATGGAAGTCGCCCGTAGTTTTGCAAGTCAGAACTACGAACTGGTTGAGCTGAATTCGAGCAATCATCGCCGTAGAAATGTCAATGAGCCTTATTATATCCACCTCGGGTTGGGGGAAGTGGGGGAGGGTGGGCCAGCCTAAAATCTGGGGCCCTTCCCCCCTTGACAACAATATCCAAGGGGCGGGGCTTAGCAGAGGTTTCCATTATGTTGATTTGTCCACATTCAACTTTTTTGATGACAGTTTGATCATTCTATTTTCTCTATGGTTTGATTAAATACATTACTACGGATTCCTCCAGTGACTGAACCTAAGTTATTCTCTCTCATTCGCTAATTATTTTTTCCGTTTTCAACTCAAATTATTGACATAAACAAGCCCCCAGCATTTTAAACTAATCTACATACGGTATTCAATTTCTATTCTCTTGCATAATATTATTGCACTTGTAGGTTTATGTCAATATTTACATAATTTATAATTATTGTGGTTATTCTGGGAGATTATATTACATAGGTTTCTCAATGGTAATACTATTGAATTGAACTTTCGACGAAACCGTATGGCTATTTAAGCTTATGGTTTATTTAATGCAAGTTAGGCAATAGCGTCTTCCGTCAAAAAAGTGACACACCTGCCCCTTAAATACGACAAGTATAAGAACGATTTTCCTGCTTGAAATGTTTATGCTGAATTTTGGCAACGCTGTAAGAAACTTTAACTTATGACTGGTTTTCCAAACTTGATTATTTAACGTATTCTTGAGGAAGACCCACCATCTTCAACGCATTTCTGTTATGGTATGACACATAATATATAAATAATAGCCTACAGGTACTGGAATTGGTTTACGACTGGTGTAAAAATAGCCATCGAGTTATTTACATTGCGGTCACAGGATTAAAATAATAAAAAGGCATAATATACAGTACTGTAGGTTAGAAATGTGGAAAGTAAAACATTAAATAAATGACTTTAAATTACTTACAAGCCACGACAGTGGTGTAAGTTTTACTGATATTATTGTTCCTGTATTTAATCTTGTTATTAATATGTATTTTATTGCTTCTGGGAGATTAAAATTTTCCGTGGTTCCGAGGCCATAACAATTGCCATTAATATTTAGTAGGCCTACTTTCATTGTTCAACAAGTGACGTCCGACGACATAGGCCCACCTTGTCCGGCAGATATGGGAAGAGGTCTCTGACTATAGTGAACACAGGAGTACACAGTTTACCTTGCAAATAATTTTTTATTCGATGTATGGAAAGAGGATCTCGGGTTTTAATCTACTAGCTAAACCATCGATGTCCTATTCTAACATGCACTAGGGCGGACGTGCTATATGACACTACCCTGTACGTATGAATACAAAGATTACAATAACAATATAAAGCAACATAGTCAAAATAATGAGAATTGATTAAGTGTAGAAAAAAAAATTTACTTTACCGAACGCATTTGAGACAGAGTAACCGGCTGTGAAGTATCCGGTGCTGTTAGTTGACATATAGAGCGGTGGGCCAATACAGTAGAGTTGCAAAGCATGAAAAATTCCATTTATTAGCGTCGAATACGAAACTCGAGAAAGTAACAGCAAATGTACGATCTTGCGACGGTTATTCTTGTTACTTACGACAACATTAACCATGTCTGATAGGATATCTTTGAACAAAACATTCTGTTGAAGATTTGATTTATCAAGAGATTCTTGCATTAAAAAGATGATGTAAAAGATCGTAAAAGTCAACGCTGATATTGTGAAAACGAAGGGTTGCAAAAAACCTGTAGCTTCGATCCAAGTAGAGAAAACTATCTGTCCACATCCCACACTTAGGAGAGTGACACCGAGAAGAACAGACATTCTAAATGTTAGGCGATCATTTGATAGCAAATCACTAACATACGAAGATGCTCCGGACCTAAATAGGAATGTAGTTCCAGTAAAACCTATTGCTAGGTTTCCAATCAGTAGATATTCTATTGGCAATGTGTATACGTAAACGAACAGATAATTGATGGCCGTCACTAGATATCCAGAAGTTGATAATACAATAGTTATTTTTCTTCCAACACGATCACTCCGTGTTAAGAAGTACAATGTTGCGAAGATGGCCGGTAGCGCCTGACAAACAAGGAATATAGTTGTCCAGTCCGCCGTTAGCATCTGTATCTCGTTTATTATTTTTGTGTCGTTAACAGTAGACGAAATGTTAAATTCAGAATACAACACAAATTCTGTGAATAAAATTCCTTGTACAGAAAGCAAGGAATAGGCTAGGTAAATAGTAAATAGGGGAATATCTACAAGAGCATAGGGAGACTGTAAGCAATCCATGACTTTAGCTTTCCGCAGCTGATCTAAATTGGAAATTCGAGATCTCTGTATAATTATTTATTTAATAAGTTACTACCAGCATTAATGCGTGATTCTAGCATAATTTAAAAAAAATATTTAAATAATCAAAACGTTTTATGTTATGTTTATGTAATATTTCCATGAGTGACCCATCATAAGTTCAAGTTTAAGTCAAGTATTTATATAGGTTTCGTGAACCTTTCTAGAAACCGACTTGCAGAATTTGCAATCAATGACAGTCGTCTATACTATAGCTTCTCAAACTATGGGTCGCGACCCAAATTTTGGTCGCCAAAACATTTCTGAGGGTCGCGAAACTGTTCCTGACTAAAAAATGCAGACTTTGATAACGCTTTCGAAACATATTGTTTCAAATACTTCAACATACCAGTCCTACAAAGGATTCAATAATTAAGCGATACCGTACACCTGACGTGCGCACACGCCAACGAAGACCATGTAGGTGTTGACGGCATTCAAGAATACCGTGTGAATGTTGACATCAAATGACACTGTGTGAATGTTGACATCAAAGGTTGATGCCGTGTTGATTTTTATCACTTTTTCGCACTTTTTCAATTCCACCAGATATATTCACGCATTCAGATGTTTTCTTGATTCATGAAAAAGTTATTTATTCGAGATGGCGCCTCTTCGTGTATACAAGATCTTGGCTTTACAACTTCTAATTTAGGGAAGCCAAATGCGTTATTTGTCTATAAGAATTGTCACTTGAAAGCAGCAGATTAAACACCGGGCACTTGCTGGCAAAATTCTAGACTTGCCACAAGTCTCTAATTATAGGTTTTCCTAGTATTAGTTAATTTTGGAGAGCGCCACCAGCGACGGTATATATCGAGAAACTTTTATGCGAATTAGAAAAAGTATACTATGAAACGCCAAGCAAATAGGTAATATGGAACGCCATTGGTGTCAAAATAGATTTAAAGACAAAGATTTGGGACTGGAACCCAGTCTAGCAAAAGTCGAGTGTTTTTTATTTAAGTGAAAAGGGAAGGATTGGGAAGAGAACAGACATCGTTTAGTAGTAGTTTCTTTCGACCAGACAAGGTAAAATTAAAGGCTAGTTATTTGGCATTCATGAAGCTTACAAAAGCCAAGAAACGGTTTACAATTGGAGAAGATCTTGTTTTGCCTGCGGCGATCGTTATTTGTCGTGAAGTATGTAAATAACGTCTTATACATAAATCAATTTATAATGTAGTATTTTACCGGTAGTATTTTAGATTATAATAATATTATTTTGTACATTTTGTACAAATCAATTGATAAATTTGAATTTTATTTATAGGTTCTCGGGGAAGCAGCTGCATCTATAGAATACAGGAGGTCTCACTTTCAAATGATACCGTCTTGAGAAGATGCTATGTTTCAGTGAAATAATTGTGGCTGTGGAGGGGTAAGGCTTTAAAGCGACTCTTGGAGTTACGTGAAGAGGTTAGAGATGTTTTTGGTTGAGCGCAGGTCAGCCTTCGCCGAACATTTCGATGATGCTAACTTTGTAACTCCTTGGCTACATGGCTGATATATTCAATTCGTTGAAAGCTTAAATATACGTCGATGCAAGGATTGTAATAATTCTGTATTTCACACTTCTGACAAAATCGAGGGGTACAGAAAAGTTGTTGCTTTGGAAGTAGCGTTTAACAATATCGATTTTTAAGGGGTAAAGCTGTTTATGTTGTTATCTAGATGGGGCTACGATTGGTTTAAAAAATAATATAATAATAATATGTCGTTCTTATATTGCGCTTAATTCCTTAACAAAGCCTCTAAGCGCTTCACATTATTACCCCGGTCATTGGATCAAACACATATATGGAACACATTGAACATTAAATGAAATTATTAAATTAAATTATATCTCCATAATATTGCGGCTAAATTTATTCAATATACAGCACATTTTTCTTATTATTCAATATAACGGATAATTACAGCTCTGGATAGGCTAAAACAATTAGCAATTGACTAATGAAAATAGGGCCAAGAAATGCGCGCTTGTCCCAATACGTGTTATCCTACAAACACGTGTGTTTACGAACTGCCGTTTCTTGGGACGTTGGCAGCAATATCCAAAGGCCAGGGCTTAGCAGAAGTGTCCATTGTTTTGACTCGTCCACATTAAACTTTCTTGATGACAGTTTGACAAAATACATTGCAACGGATTCTTTCAGTGACTGAACCTAAGTTATTCTCTCTCATTCGCTTATTATTTTTTTTTTCGTTTTCAGCCTAAATGATTGATATAAAGAATCCCCAGAATTTTAAACTAATCTACGTATTATACAATTTCCATTTTCTTGCATAAACATTAGTATTAGGGCAAAAAAAAAAAAGATTGATATAAAGAATCCTCTAGAATTTTAAACTAATACTTATTCAATTTCCCTTTTCTTGCATAAACATTAGTATTAGGCCAAAAAAAAAATTGTGTTGGCCACGTTTTGGGAAAATGCAAAAATAATTGGGTAGGTCGACCCATAATTTCGTAAAAAATGTGTCAGTCGGGCGTGGCCTACACAATGATTTGTTTGTGGCCTTGCACTTGAAGGCTTATGTGAATATTTAAGTAGGCCTAATGTATAATTCATTGTGTTTTTTCTCGGGGATTGTATTACATTGGTTGCTCAATGGCAATAATGTTATTGAATTGAACTGATGACGACACCGTGTGGCTATTTAACCTTATGGTTTATTTAATGTATTTTAGGCCTAGCGCCTTCAGTTAAAAAAGTGACACATGCCCCTTAAATACGACAAGTTAAGAACGAGTTTTCTACCTCAAAAGTTGTACTGAATTTTTGCAACGCCGAAAGAACCACAGTAAGAATGACACAGATGAAGGCAAACCAGTCTATTTTCTAATAGACACTATAAAAAAAATTATATCTTCTCTTTATTATGCTTTAGAAAATGGTATAGAATTGTGTACTTAAAAAGCGGGTCCACTTTTAGATTGCCATGTCTTGTTTACAAGATTCGGCTACGGCACTGGTGATGGGCCAAAATGACCGTAATTTACCAAGCCACTATAGTGGAGTAAGTTTAACTGATGTTATTGTTCTTCTATTTAATCTTGGTATTAATATGAATTTTATTGTTTCTGAAAGAATCAACGTTTCCGTGGTTGCGAGATCATTAACAATTGCCATTGATAATAGTAGGCCCACTTTCATTATTCAATTCAATTCAATTTATTTCATTTTATTCAGGCTATCATAAGTAAATATCAGAGAAATGTGCTTTGAAGCTAAGCGATCAAACATAAATAGTTAAAAACAGTTAAAGAAGACTTGAAATTTTAAAATGTTTCAAACAGAACAGTAAAAAACCTTAAAACGATATATTAAGACATTAAAATACAGTAAAACGTACATTAAGGGATTATATTAAAACAATATAATATACTATAAAAACATTAAAAGACAATAAAAAGTATTAAGTTATGTTATTAAAACACTGTACGATGATAAAAGACAAAGAGGAGAAAATGCATTAATTAATAGTATGAAATTATTGCATCAACAAGTGACGTCCGACGACATGGACCCATGATTGTTCGACAGATATGGGAAAAGATTGCTGACTCCAGTGAACAGGAGCACCGTACACAAATTACCTTTCAAACAATTTGTTATTCGAGGCATGGAGGTATAAAACGTATTTTATACCGCCATATGTTCGAGGTGAAAAGAGGATCTCGGGGTTTTAATCTGGTAGCTAAACCATCGATGTCCTATTCCCCTGGTTCTTAATGAATTTGTTTGAAGGGCCAAATTAAAAATATATATATATATATATCTGACGTGCCAAAGATAATCTCAGCCGAGTTGAAAGCAATCGTTATACATCTGGGTAAAACGGTTTCTGCTAAGATAAGTCTATTTCAAAGTTCCTTTTTCCGCAATTTGGAACTATAGGGTCTACTTTTACTAGGATTACACTAGCAATCATGACCCAAATTGGATCGCGGGAAATTTCTGTGTGGACGTCGTGTCATAGTCACAGTCGCCAGTCAAAATACAAAAAAATGTATTTTTATGAGCATTGTCTGTTGATACCAAATTTGTATTACCATTATAAAGAATGCTTTTAACGAATCGAAAGCGCCGCGGCGCCTAATCGAGGGTAATTATATCCCTGTGTTTAATGAAACGCTTTGAGAAGCAAGGTTTTAAATACAATGTATACACAGTGTTAAGATGAACTTCAATACTTGGAACATCTATTATACTTTCATATTACCGTAAATCCTCGAATAAGCACCGCTCCCGATTTTTTCGCTAAGCGCCGCGGCGCCTAATTGAGAGTATTGTATTACCCTGTGTTTAATGAAATACTTGGAGAAACAGGTTTTTAAATACAATGTACTGTATTGAGTAAAATGAATAAATAACACAATGAAGACACAGGTATTTCTTTATAAACGTTTATTTACGATGACGTTGGACCTACAGTATGATAGGCCTACCGTACTACGGGAATACGTACCGTAAGATAGGCCTGTCTATTCTAACACGCATCACAGAAGTGCAGGCATGCCCCTGCACGGATGAACACATCGTTTACAATAACAATATAAACTTACAGTTAAACATAATGAGAATTGATTTAGTGTAGAGAAATCTTTTTCAGCTTACCGAAAGCATTTGAGACACAGTAACAGGCCGTGAAGTATCCGCTGCTGCTAGTTGACATATAGAGCGGTGGGCCAATACAGTAGAGTTGCAAAGCATGGTAAATTCCATTTATCAGCGTCGAATACGAAACTCGCGAAAGCAACCACAAAAGTAGAAGAGTGCGACGGTTATTTTTGTTACTTAGGACAACATTAACCATATCTGATAGGATATCTTTGAACAAAACATTCCGTTGAAGATTTGATTTATCAAGAGATTCTTGCATTAAAAACATGATGTAAAAGATCGTAAAAGTCAACGTCGCTGTTATGAAAATAAAGGGTTGCAAAAAACCTGTAGCGTCGATCCAAGTAGAGAAAACTAGCTGTCCACATCCCACACTGAGGAGAGTGACACCGAGAAGAACAGACATTCTAAATGTTAGGTGATCATTTGATAGCAAATCACTAACATACGAAGATGCTCCGGACCTAAATAGGAATGTAGTTCCAGTAAAACCTATTGCTAGGTTTCCAATCAGCAGATACTCTATTGGTAATGTGTATAGGTAAACGAATA